AAAAAAAAAAAAAAAAAAAAAAAAAAAATGAGTATATATCATTTTTATAATAATATTCTACCGAGCAAATCAATAAGAACGGCTATATGTACTAATATAAAAGGAAATAATAAAAAATATTTATTGTATGCTTGTAACAATTATTTAAATGTGTGTTATGTTGACAAAAATGGATATACAGATGATTATAGTAAGCATGTTTTATTCTCTGAAGTTTTAGAATTAAGAGAATATATACCGGAGAAATTAATTGATGAAGGACAAAAAGAAAATATTAAATCTTATGTATTTTTATTAACAAAAAAATATATCTTATTATTATTAGAATTTGATTTAAAATTAAATGATTTTGTTACATTATCTCAAATAAACTTATACGAAATAAATGGATTACATATAGAAGAAGATATAACATTTATGTTAGACAAAAGGAATAGAACAATTTTATTTTATGGTTATAAAAGTATTTTGAAATATATTTATTTAGATTATGATGATTATTTTAATTTAAACCATTTATATACTTTAAGGTTAGATGAAGGATTGATAATAGACATAATTTTTTTAAATAATTATGAAGATAATGAAAAAGAAAGTTTTCTTGATATAAACAATAGTAAAAATAATGTGGATGAAATTATTTGCAACCATAATAAAAAAGAAAAAGAATATGTAGATGAAAAAGAAAATAGCAAAAAAAAGAAAAAAAAACTATATTATACTAATTCAGATAATGAAAATAATAAAAAAAAAGGGCATAATAAAAAAGGAATGATAAATGATAATACTACTAATAATAACACATATGATTTTACAAAGAATAAAGAAAATTTAGAAAAAATAGAATTTGTTAATGATAAAGAGTATATGGAAATATCTCATAAAAATGATATTATTAGTGAATCGTTAAAAAAAGACAAATTAGTAAAATTATTTTCTTCTGATGATAATGAAGAAAAAAAAAACAGAGAAAACAACAGTAGTGTTTTTTGTGATCCTTTAAAAAGTAGTAATAAGTATAATGAAATTATCAATGCTGATAATTATCATTTTAATTCAAAAAAAAATAGAAAATCTATCAATTCAGTAATATGTATATTATTTGATGCAAAAAAAAAAGATTCTTATACATATGAAAGATATATTAGAGTTATACCATTATATTCTCTTAACGATAAAAAACAAGGAAATAATTTTTACGAAAGTAATGAAATAGTAAATCAGTATGGAAATAGATCATTAGACGACTCTTTAGAAGAAAAGTCATATATTTTACATATATATTTTAAACCAATGATAGTGGATTCAAGTATAAATAAATTGTTAAGTTTTGCTAAAAACAGAATATTATTAATAGGATTTCAATTTATAAACTATATAAACTTAGAAAATGAAAAAGATAAAAATTTTTTTTTAAGTTCTGAATTAAGAACCATTAGATGTGTTGAAAAAATAAATATAAATAAATTTATTTTGGCAGATGATTATGGTGATTTATTCATATTAACATGTTTATGTAAATCAAAATCATCATCCTATAAATTGAGAAATGAATCTAGTTCAAATATTAATTCCATCAATTTACAATTTATTGGAACATGTTCTAGATCTAATGTAATTGTCTCAATTTATTCTGATATTTTATTTTTAGGATCACAAGTAAGTGATAGTTATTTATTACGGATGCATAATTATCCAATATATGATTATGATGATTATAAACCAATAGAACATTCTTCCCATAACCCATTAAATAGTTCTCATATATTACCAAATGAAAAAAATTGTGATAATTTAACTACAGATGATTCTAACGATTTTAATAACAATGATACTTTACATCATTTTAAAAGTGAAGCAAAAATTTTTCATAACAATATGAAGAATGTATGTAATAATAATAATAATTATAATGAATATGGTAGAATTGATGGAAATTATAAGAATAATTTTTATAATTGTAAAAATAAAAATGATTATGGAAAAGATACTAATAATTGTTATAACAAATGTAATAACGCATGTAATATGAAAAATATAAATTCTGTTGATCATATTAATGATATTGCTAGTGTTAATTACAACGAAAATATTAGTTATGATAAAAATATGTCTAATAATAATTTGTATAACAACAATAGAAAAGAAAATATTAATTATTCTACAGGTGGTTATTATATGAATAAATATGCAAGCGAAACTATGTACAGTGATTGTTATTCAGAAGATAATCAATTGAATAAAAAGGAATGTTTAGTTATAGATAAGGTAGAAGGAGAATCTTTTAATAAAAACTATTGTTCAAAGAAAAAAATAAAAAAAAGAAAATTTTACATCGAAATTCTATCAGTAATACAGAATATGGGTCCTATTTTAGATTTTTGTATTATCAAAAATAAAAATGATGAAAAAGAAATAATAACATGTAATAGTTATGGAAGAACTGGTTGCATATCAATTATTCAGAATGGATTAAAAACAAATATAATCTCTAAATTAAATTTGAACAAAATAACAAATTTTTTTGTTGTCAAATATGTTATACATTTAAAAAAAAAGGATTATAATAAAATAGGAATTTGTGAAAACGGAAAAATAGGATGCAAAAAAGAAAATGAGTTTTCATCTACTGAATATTATAATAAAGATAATTCTGATGTATTTTTCAAAAATGAGACATCAAAATTTATAGATAACCAACCGTTAGAATTTCAAGCGTTTGCTTATTTAGATAATAAAAAAAATGTTGAAATAAAAGATATAAATTTATGTTTTTTAAATAAATATTATTTTGAGAACGAAAATGAAATAAACGTTTTAAAATATTCCAATTTTATTTATTTTCATATTTTTATTATTTGTATTACATATGGCTTTCAAACTAAAATTATTGGAGTATGTAAAAACAGAGAAAAGAAAGAAAAAAAAAAGAAAAAAAAAAGAAATAGTGATTCTGATGAATTTTCTTCTTTATATGATGAAGATAACTATATAAACAACTATTTATTTAACGGAACATTTACAAAAAATAAACACAACGAAATTTTATTATGTGAATATGAAAATACAGATATAGATATTCATAGCAATACACTATATTTTAATATTTTGAATAATAACCCATATCTTATACAAATAACTAATAAAAGCATCAGATTATTATGCTGTTTATCATTGAAAGCTGTTTATGTTTTAAAATTTAATTTTATTTATAAATTTTGCTTATGTAAAGATTATTTATATATATATTGTGATAATAGTATAAAAATATATACTGTTCGAAATAATAGTCTTATATTTTTATACTCATATAAACTAAAACAAACGATTAGTTCTATGGTTATTTATAAATGTATATTGGCTTGTGTTTTCAATAATAAAAAAGTTGTACTTTTTAATATAAATAAAAAAAAGTTAAAAGAATTTAAAAAAAGTGAAGACATAGAAAATTTGCAGAATGTAAATATATTTACTGAAGTTAACCAATATAATCCTACTTGCTTTTTTTTCGTATTTATAAGTGATATTGAATTATTAGAATTGAATGATAATTTATATTTATTTATTGGTTATAATAATGGAGATATAGAATATTTTTTATTGTGCTCATTTTATAACAATACTAAATTAAAAAATTGTAACAACTTTCAAAGTTATAATAGAATTCAATCAAACAATATAACATATGATAACGACATTGACAATAATAATAATAATAGTAATTTTTATTTTGGTTATATATCGGAAAATAATAGTAATAATTATAATAAAATAAGAGATAAAAATTGTAATTATAATTATCATTATAACAATGTTGAGACAAATAATTTTATAAGTGAAACACATTTCAATACAAAAGACATGATTTCTAATAATAAAAATAGAAAAAAAGAAAATAGTAATTTATTTAAATTGCATAAAGAATTTCTAAAAAAAAAAGAAGCTGCTTTAAAGTATGTTTATAAAAATGATAAAGTTCAAAATAATAATAATAATAATAATTCAAAATTTGGTTATAAAACAAAAATTACAGATGATATAGAAAAAGAAAAAAAAATAAAGAAATCCAAAAGAAAATTATTAAAGTATTTATCAGAAAATCATACAAATATATTTAAATATTTTGATTTTTCTAATTCATCTTTTAAAAATATACACGATTTGCATAAAGCATGTACAAAAAATAAAAGGGAAGAAATATTAATAGATGTAAATTCTTTTTATAATGTTAATATAGAATCTGATAATTTTATTAGTTTAGAAAATTACCTGAAATCAAGTAAATATGATCAAGAAGAAAAAATCAAAAAAAACAATAAAAACCAAATTTTAAACAATGAAACATATTTGAAGAATGCCTTAAATGGTACAACTGATAATTTAGAAGAAAATACTGATTATGGTAATATGATTTTAAAAAATGTATGTAATTACAACAAAAGTTCTAACAACATGAATTTAATAAAAAATAAATTAAACAAAATATGTTCTGATGATAGCAGTAATCAAAAAAAGGAAAGTAACATTAATAGTGATAATTTATCAGACACTCTTTATCAAGTAAAGGAGGAGAAAAATTTTAAAAAAAATAACGAAATGAAAATGAATAAAAGAAAGGCAAATTATTTTTTTCATTTTTTTCAAATATATGGAATATCATCTGAAGAATCATCAGATAGTGATATAGTTAATTTTTATACGTTTAAAAGATTTGGAGTTAAAAAGTATAAAAAAGAAAAAAGGACATGTTATAATAAAAAAGGAAAATTAAATGAGTTTGATTTAGAGAAAGAGATAATTAATGAATCCTCTTTTAATTTATCATCAAGCTCCAATTTAGAAAATAATACATATTCGAACAGTGTTATAAAATATAACAATTATAATTCAGAAAATGTAAGTGAATTTGCTTTATCTTCATGCTTTCTTGATACTGAAAAAAAAATTAGTAAAAAGAAAAAAAAAAATTTATTAAAGATCGAAAAGGAAAGCATACAAAAAGATTGTAATTTAGAAAGTGAAAGAGTAATTGACAACCCTTTAAAAAAAAATGAAGAACTTGAATCTTATCGCAATAATAAAAGGAAAAGAGAAAATACAACTAGTAGTTTTAATGATGAAAAAGGAAACATTTATATGGATGAACATAATATATTTGAAGAAATGCAAAATGATAATATAAAAAAAGAAGATTTAAAAAAAAAAAAAGATATGCTAAACGATTTATTTAACAAAAAACTAAAAGAACAATGTGATCACATGTATTTTCGTGAAAATAATGCATGTTCTGAAAAACATAGTAATTCTGATGATCTTTCGTCAAATGTATCTTGTTTTGACAATTTAAATAATATATTATTTGATGATAAAATATATCTAAAAAAATACATTTTGAAAAGTAAAAAAATCCTATTAACAAATAGAAGGAAAATAAATGTGTGTAAAAAACCTATAAAATTTAAAAAATTTGTTAAAGTTTTTTCAGAAAAAAAAAAAATTGATATAAATTTAAGTAATGTTGTAAAAAAATATAATTTTCTTTTTGTGTGCTGTGAAAATCCAATGATTATATATTCTAACTTAAAAAAAAAAATATCTTTTTCAAAATTATCTATTAAAAATATTTATTTAGTTGATATATTTAATGATTTTAATTATCTTAACCCATTTCATAATTTTATTTCATTTAAAAAAAAAAATCAAAATAATTTCTACTTCATTTTTTATGATGGTTTGAAGATGTACATATCTCATCTGAATGAGATTAAGAATACATTTTTGCAAAAAATTCCATTTTATAGAACTGTAGAAAAAATTGCATATCACCCAGAAACAGGTTTATTAATAACAGCTTGTCCTCCTGAAGAAAAGCATAAAACAAATCAGATTATGAAACAAATAGTTTGTTTCTTTGATCCATTTCAGAATTCTGTTAAATACACCTATATAATACCATCAAAGTATAATGTTTCAAGCATATGTATATACGAAATTAATAAAGATATATATAAAAATAAAAGTGTTAATACTTTTATTTTTGTTGGTACTGCTAATGCTAATGAAAAAAGTACTGAACCATCATCGGGTCATATTTATGCTTTTGTTGCAAAAAAAAAAGTTAATATGTTTGAAATTAAGCATATTTACACTTATAATATTAATTATGGTGGTATTACACATTTGAAACAATTTTATGATAAATTAATAGCTTCTATAAATAATACGGTAAGTATTTTAAATATTTAATAAAAAAACAGATGCATATATATAATATTACCCTTTTTTATCAAATGTATTCTCATAATTTATCTATAATATATATTCAGAAAAATTTATATGGAAAAAAAATATTATATTTATATTATATGTTTTTTTTTATATTATTCTTTATTTTTAGGTTGTTGTTTTGGACATTAGTAACTTCCTAACAAATTTAGAAAAATATTTAGATTATTCTAATACTTCCATTGTAAAAATAAAATAAAATGAATTTTTCAAATATGTTCATATTTTTATATATGTTAATAAATTAATGTTTATATTAATTTTTTTTTTTTTTTTTTTTTTAAAAGTTTGAGAAAGATGACTCTATTTTAGAAATAGCTTCTTTTACACCAAGTTCATGGATAATGAGTTTAGATGTTTTGTAAAAAAAAAAAAAAAAAAAAAATAAATTATATATACATATATATATTTTTTTTTTTTTTTTTGTTAAATAATAAACATTTCATTTTATTCTTATAGAGATAATTATATTGTAGTTGGAGATATTATGACATCAGTAACCATATTATCCTATGATTTTAAAAATGTAAAAAATAGTTGATAATTATTAATTTTAAAAAAAAAAGTTTAATAAATTTCATAGAAAATTAAATTTTACATTTTCATATATTATTTTCATATATTTCTTCCAAAATTTTATTACATTTTTTTTTTCTTCTTTATTTAGGCTGTATTGAATGAAGTTTGCAGAGACTATTCTAGTGTTTGGTGCACGTATGCTCACATTTTAAATCCTCCATATATGTTTAATATTTTTTCATACACACAAATATATTATAATATATTTTCTTTTTTTTTTTTTTTATTAAATTTATAGTTCTGTTTGTGCTTTATCAAAAAATCACTTTTTAGTTTCAGACATGGATTGTAATTTCCTTGTATTACAAAAGTAAAAAAAAAAAAAAAAAAAAATGTCATATGTATAATCATGATTTTTTTTTTTTTCCAATAATATATTTTATAAAACTCAATTATTTTAACTTATTTTTTTATTTTATGTTTTTTTTTTTTTTTTTTAATTAAAGGTCAAATATTAAATACAATGACGAAGATTCATTTAAATTATCAGTAAATTATAATTTTCATAAATAAGCACATTAATATACATATATATATATATATACAACATTTTAATAAAATGTAGGTTGTCTCATTATTTTATCATGGAAGTGTTATTAATAAAATGCTGTCGTCTTCATTAAGCAATTTGATTGAAGAGTATGAAGAAAATTTTAAATATTTTCATTTCATTTCCATGTTTATTCTTATATATATATATACTTACTTATTCATTTATAGAGAAGAAAATAGAAATAGTATTTTATTAAAAAGAGAAGGAATTTTATGTGCATCAAGTGAAGGATCCATCAGTGCCTTAATCCCATTTTCAAATTTTTCTAATTTTAAAAGAGCATTATGCATAGAAATTGCATTAAATGATAATATATCTTCAATAGGAAATTTAAGTCATAGTTCATATAGAGAATATAAAGCTAGTTTTACATCAAAATTCTGCAAAGGTGTTGTTGATGGAGAATTATTTAAAATGTTTTTTTATTTACCTTTTGAAAAGCAATTTAAAACATATATTTATGCGAAATGGTAAATATATACATATTTTTACTTTTTTATTTTTCATAACATTATATATTTTTTTTTTTTTTTTTTTTTCATATTTTTGTAGGATTGCCAAGAAATTAAATTGTAAATTTGGAAGTTTTGAAAATTTTATGCTAGATTTAGAAAATTTTTGTTCATTTTTGTGATTTTGTTATTTATATGATTTTTTAACTATGAAATAATACAAATACACATATATTTGATTACTTTTACAATTTTTTTTTATTTAATTAAATTCATAATTATAGTAATTTACTATTTTTTTAATTTATATTAATATATTTCATTAAACATTAAATTTTTAAATTTTTTTTTTTTTTTTTTTTATATATATATATATATATATATAGTTTTTTTTTTTTTTTTTATGATTAAAAAGTTAAATGATCTAGTGTATTTTTTTTTTTTAATTTTGAAATTTATAAGTTTTTGATAGGTGTTAGATGGCACCCAATATACAATCCATTATGAGTTTTATTAGGAAAAATGTAGTAAGTGTAAACCTTTTCTTCTCTTAATACTTTTATTTCAATTTTAGATGGATTAGTTTTCATGTAATCAGATATTTTTTTAAGTATGTCTAAGTTTTCATTATCGTCATTTTCGTTTTTTTTCACATCTCCAAATTGGTAAATATAGTCATTAATTTTTAAGCCAGCTTTATGTGAAGGAGAATTATCAATCATTTCATCTATTATGGCAAATATATTTTTTTTCACATGTTCAATCTCTACTTCATTTACATCTTCATATATTTTATTCCAATTTAAATTTTCTTCGTCATTTTTATTTTTATTTCTTTCAACACGTATTACTGGATGAGTACTGTGAACTTTGTGCAAATATTCTTCAATTTTTTTGTTTATATCTAAATAATCATTTTTTAAACAAATGATTTTATTTCTGGCTACCCTAATACTATATATATCAATATCATTTCGAGGAAATCCTTCTGCATCAATTAACTTTCCTTTCATACCAATATTTTTATTTTCAGGTTTTTCTAAAAATTCTAAATTTTCATTTATTTCATTTTCAATTTCACTTCTTTTTTTCACAAGTTCATTGAACTCTTTTAAGTCCATTTTTTTACATAAGAAATTTTAAAAAAAGAAAAAAGGAAAAACATCAAAAATGTTCATTAATTGATATTTTCTGTGAATATTCTCTTTTCAAACAAGAATATTATTTTTTTTTTTTTTTTTTTGTATAAAAGAAAAAGAAAAAAAAAAAA